TGATCAGTCCAACGAACAGTCTGCTCAATTATCTGGTGGAATAGGTATCGGGGTGCAATCAGCAAGAGGCTACGGCGCTGGTAGCTCCGCATCTGGTTTAAGTGATTCCAGCTCCAAGTCATTTAACTCCGGTTTCCAGTCTTCAGCTGGATCTAAATCTGAAAGCTCCAGTGGATTTAGTGGACAGGCATCTGCTGATTCTAATGCCCAGTCTTCTGGTGATTTCGGTAAACAATCTTCTGCTGGATCAAACTCTCAATCTTCAAGTAGTTACGGAGGCCAATCTTCTGGTGGCTACGGCGGCCACTCATCAGGAAGTTATGGTAGTCACTCATCAGGAGGATATGGGGGTCACTCATCAGGAGGTTATGGTGGTCATTCGTCTGGTGGCTACGGTGGTCACTCTTCTGGTGGTTACGGTGGTCACTCTTCTGGAGGATATGGTGGCCAATCATCCGGCTATGGAGTCAAATCTTCATCTAGTTCTAGCTCCCAATCCTCAAATAGCTTCGGGAACTCTGCGGGAGGCTATGGTGGAAACTCTAATGATCAAGCTTCAGGGAACTTTGGCGGTCAGTCAGCTGGTAACAATGGCCAATCTTCAGGTGGATTTGGAGGGCAGTCGTCTAATGGCTTTGCTAACCAGGGTGGCGGTGTAAACGGCCAATCAGCACATGGTGAGAAGAAATTCAACTACAAAGAGTCTCACTACTCGTACCAAAGCGGTGGTAACAAAAACGCTGGCTTTGAATCCCAATCACAAGGCAGAGGATTCAGCGATGAACAGCAATCAGCAAGCAATGGTGGTTTCGATGGCAGTGTAGGCGGAAAATTGGAAGCCCATCGAGTTGAACAAGTAGGCAGCCAAAATGGTGGATCTTTTGGAAATGGGCAATCTTCTGGACGTTTTGATGCTTCTAGTGCTAGTTCCAGTGGAAGTTCAAGCTCTGGAGGAAGTGGAGGTTACGGCGAGGGTGCAGGAATTTCTGCAGGTCTCGGTGTTGGTGGTTCTGCTGGATTAGGAATTGGAGGATCCACTGGATTAGGTGTCAGCGGTTCTGGTAGTTACGGCGCTGGTGGATCTAGCGGCTATGGTTCTGGTTATTCTGGTTCTCAATCAGCTCTTAAGGGAGCTCTTGAACTAGCCAACCAGGGGCTACAGACGGCAGCGCAACAGCCGGCTGGATGCAGCACTTGTGGTAAAAGCAATTACGCTTTAAGTAATGCTAAGAGCAGAAATGGCAATGCCATTGCCCTTTCCGTTAGCGGTTAAATTTTAAAGTACCTGATCTTATGCTCCTACGAATAATGGTATAAAGAATTGTCTTGTATATTGTGATTGTAATTAAGTTGTTTATGTTTTTGTTTGAGATTTCTTGTAAATAATTTTAACAATTACGATATTATTTTAATAAAATTTTAATTCATTATAACATTTTTTATATTTATTTTGACCTTGCCTATTGTTTCCATTACTTTCTTTGAAAATTGACACGTCTAAGAATCTGCTAAATTAAATACACTGATATATTGTTTTCTAGCAAACAGTTAGTAACGAAATTTTCTTTTCAATAAGTTTATTCTATTGTACTATTCTATATAAATGAGATTTTAAGCTCATATAATAAATGTAATGAGTTTGTAAAAAATAATAAAAATACAATCTGATTTTGTTGCCCTGGCAGGTGGCCATAAATAGGGTAGTTTCCTAAATTTTATTTTAATGTCCGTCTGGTACATTAATTTAAAACTTAAGACACGTATTTGTGGCGACGCATGCCACATGTCAACGGATGACGTCACAAGAATCCTACATCGCACATGCAAAGTTTACAAGCGAATAAAGACGGATAGAAAATCCCAACGAACAACTGTTGGGCAGAAAGCCCGCCAGGCACGATCACCTCGCCTGGTCGGAGGATCCTCCTTTTCCGATCTTAGGGAACTATACTCTCTGTTCCCTAAATATTTTTTCTTTTCTCACAAAATTAAATACTTCCGAAGATATGTTAATTGGAAATATCGTTTGACGTTACATTTTGCGGCACGTTATGACGTAACGACCTCTCACTCCAAAAATTAGCGCTATTTTATCTAAATATTGCAACTTAATACGAGAAAATAAAAAATACGTGTCTAATATTTTTTCACTGTGTAACTGACGGACTAATTAGTTATTGTTATTTTTTTTATTTTGATATCCTGGAAACTAACCAATTCTAATCCAGTTAGGGAATGAATAGCCTTACTGTTGTACTCGTAAAATTTAATAATTACTTAAAAGTAGTTAAACATTAATTAGCAACGATTTTGTTCTGGATTAAGTAACCATCTACGAGCGATCATATCAAACAAACAACAAACACAGGTGCGCCTCCTTGAGATACCTGACAGAACTAATGACTCCTTATATCATGGCGTTGCTATCGTTACTTGCAACTGCAGCCAGATCACAATAGATGGCAGTGTATCGCCCGGCATTTAAAGCTCTGAAATAATTCTAGATTTAAACGGTACGTCGCTAGTAGCAACAAAGCGACCATCCTTCACGTGTTTCTTCTATCCTTCCTTATATGGACTAATTTAGATTTAACACTTACCTACATCAATATAAATTTTAGATTTCTATGTTGTGTGCTCTGTCTGACTGCCTCATTGGCCGAGTGGTTGGAAGTGCGACTGCCGGGCAAGGGGTCTCGGGTTCGATTCCCGGGTCGGGCAAAGTATTACTGGTCTTTTTTTAAATCTACGTAGTAGGACGGGGCCTGGAATTGTGCCCGGTAAATGGCAATTGGCTCACCCCCTATTACATGGGAATCGTAACATACATAATGAAAAGTGTAATGTGTAATGTGCACCTCTGCCTATCCTTTCGGGATAAAAGGTGTGATGTTATATATGTTGTGTGCTGTGCCCGTGCATCAATCCATAATGAGGGGTATAATCCAAGGCTATGCTAGACAATTTCATTTCCATAGGTACTAAGTACCATGTTTCTTGAATCAAACAGTCGCAATTCCATACTCCAGGCTAAGACGGAGCCGCGGAAGACTCAACAGGTTACCGGGGGGTTCCGGCTCGAAGTGCAGGAGTAGTAACGGTGTCAGGAGAGTCTGATACTCCATCTCGCCTCAACAGTGCGGGAGAAGTCATTGGATGATTTTCCCCCTCAAAAAAAGAGGTTAGTACTGAGAACTTTGCAAAATCTGGGCATTGAATCCGGGACCCTTACTTGGCAGTTACACTTGCGACCAACGATAAATGAGATAATCCAATAAGCTTCACTACATATTATAAAACAAAGTCGCTATCCGCTGTCTGCTGTCCCTATGTATGCTTAGATCTTTAAAACTACGCAACGGATTTTGATGCGGTTTTTTTAATAGATAGAGTGATTCTTAAGAAAGGTTTATATGTATAATACATGCATATTAGACCCGTGTGAAGCCGGGCGGATCGCTAGTTATATAATAATGGCTAAAAAGCAAAACCAGGATATTCCAATATTACTGAAAATATTTTTGAAGGCAAACTGCATCCATAAAAATTTAATAATACCTAATCATGAAAATTGATCCAAATCACAGTTACGTCATGTAAACCACACGTGAATGGAAACTTACAAACAAAGATATTAGGATACACTAAGGTTCGTTACAAACTATCAGACTGGTAATATATTTATTTAAATATGCGTTATCATTAACTAATTTGTCGGATGAACAGTACGAGACAAAGTCTCAAGCGTGTCTTTGCATTGTTCTCACATATATGTACAGTATTGGAATATGTATCAGAGAATTGTAGAACATACTTTTTAAAAAGAGTAACGAATGGATTTTCTTGTTCGTTCTTCTCCATTCGAATCTACATTTTGGAATAAGCACCTAACTTCACCTAACTTCACTGACGGACTGACTGGCAGACTATTATTTACTTTGTATTTGTTGACGTTTCAAAAGTATCAAATTATGGTTTAATTGAAATAAATGCTTTGACTTTGACTTTGAGTCTAGAATTCTTCCTATTATGTTTATTGATATGCCTCATCTTATCTTAGGCACTAATATTATAAATTTAAAAGTTTGTGAGTTTGTGTGTTTGTTTGTATGTTTTTTACTCAACCACTTCAAAACTTCTGAAGAGATTGGGATGAATTTTGGAACACGAATAGATTATGATCTGGAATAACACATAGGCTACATTTTATTCCACGCAAAGGCGGGTGAAGCCGCGAGCAGAAGCTAGTAGTCATATAAACACAAAAGGCAAATTATGTCTGTAACATAATTTGTTAAACATTTTAAGGTAACATAGCATGATACCAAGTTAAGAATTACGAGGATTACAGTGAGGTAGATTGTAGGAACTAAAAATTACCTATGGCCTTGAAGAATTCAAATTTCGGCGGAGTACATTACATTTTCGCCCCAATCGTGCAAATTTCATGAGAACCGACTAAGGGAATAGGCTAACACATTTGGCAGAGACAGGGCTCTCTGATAATTCTCAATCTTTTAATATGCTACTCTTAAGCATAAGGAAAATGTCGCGGAGAACTTAACGGGCTACCGGGGCTCCGGCTCGACGTGCAGGAGAAGGAACGGGGTAGTTTTTAGTTTTAGTCAGTAAGAGTCTGACACTCCCGCCTCACTCAAGCGGGAGCAGTAATTCGATGATTTTTCCCCCTTAAAAAAAATGCATCAAGATAATGCATATGGTCCATCAGTGGACTGTCACAAGCAGTTTATGTTGTACAGAACCCAGTTTCCAAACTAAATCATCAAGTTTCACTTATCGTGTATAAACATCCTAAACCAAACATAACAGGGATTCACCCAAACCAGGTTTTCGCACCAACTAGATCGTTGTCACAATCAATTAAGGATAAGTTGTGAAAATGAGTTTTCTTGGTAATATTGGAAGCATGTATTTGATATTTATCTACCGAGCATATAAAGATCTGGTATAAGGAACATAGTTCAGAGTAAAAAGATAAAATGTGGCGAACAGGTGTATTGTTAGTGGCTATTGTTTTCATAGAGTTTGCTGCCGGTGATGTCAAACGTAAGTTTTATGATAAATACATAATATTTACTTCGTGTCTGTTTGGTAAACAATTAGTTTCAGTCACGGTGTTCTCTATGATGCAATATTTCTAACAATTACTGGGTAAACTTATATCCACCTAAATCCATTTCATAATCAGTTCTAAAGAAGGATTTAAGAATATGCCTTAAATATTGTTGTTATATGAGTCCATTATGATTGATATCTATACTAAATACCTACTTATTACTCGTCTAAACATTTCTTTTCATTATATCCACCCAAAGGTTGTCTGGTAGAAATCACTGTATTATATTTTTATTTATATTTGTCATTTCCTTTTCTATATGTATGTACCTCTACTACATTATTAATGGTGTACAATTAAATTTATTCTATTCTATTCTATTCATTACGTAATTAGGACCCCAAATACTTAATATAGTAACTGAAGAGTTTGTTTCAGTGTGAGTTTGTTCGAGTTTGAAGTTGTTATACTTAACTGACCAAAACCCATAAATTCCTAAGTTCCTATTCTCGGATACACTGTTTTAAATTAAAACCTTTTATGATTCCAGCAACAGACACCACTCTCATAAATCGGCTGAAGCGCTCTCCGAACTCATGTGACTACGACTACAGGCCGAGGTACTGGCCTCCACCACCGCCACCCCCACCGCCACCACCACCACCTTACTGGCCGCCACCACCACCTCCAGGGCCACCACCATTCTGGCCACACCGTCATCATCACCATGACCGTTTCGAAGATTTCACTGACGATGCATCAAAAGACCAGCCATGTTCCACGTGCCAAGGAGATGGAATTTCATCAGCTTTGAGTAACGCTAAGAGTAAAAATGGAGATGCAATTGCTATAGCTATCGCTAAGGCTAGTCCTAGCCCGAAACCTTGAACGAAGAGTATTCTTATTTTATGGGTGGTCACAGATCAGCGCGGGTTATATTCAGCTCTTAGACAACGAGAATATAGTTAGTTAGATTTGTATTTCGTGCTGATCCGAGATGAAAAGAAACGACACAATTAGATAGAATTTTGACATGAGCTCCATACAAAATGTGTCAAAATTCTATCTCTAGTAAGCAAATCTACAGATAGATAGGTTATAGAAACTGGACGTTAGATATCACATTGTTAAGTAAGTTTGTTAATTTCGTGCTTATTTGTGTCAATCCTAGAAAGAAACATTATTAATAAAAGTCTGTTTATGTATTAAGTGTTATCTAATAGTAATTACAAATAATTTATGCAAGAGACCTGAGATTCTATGTTATTACGTATCGGCGGAGAAAAATTGATTCTCAGATAAAAACAACACTAAATAGGTATCTTAAGAGTTATTGTGACCAAATAGACATTAAAATCTAGACCAGTTTTCTAGATTTAATAATTAAGTAGTTGCCTATAATGATTAAATGTTGGTAATAAAAAATCCGAGATCATTGTGATCAGAATAAAGTTAATAGTGTAAATGCTTTTTTTATTTTTATTTAAGAGAGTGTGATATACGCCACCATTTCTAAATAATTATGTTAATATAATCAAATCAAATAGTCTAAAAATAATGGCCTACCAAGGATTTGCATATACGGTAGCTTTATAATTATTTCGATTTAAGGATCAGAAATAAATTCAATCTTTCAAATCAATAGATTTTAACGGGATTTCTGTGCCAGAGCCAATGAATCAAGAAGGGTATAACTTGGGTTAACAATAGGCTCACCCCCTATTACATGGGACTCATAACATAAATAGTGAAAAGTGGGTGTTACATTGTACAGTGGCATTAAGTGCCGTAATGTGCACCTCTGCCTACCCCTTCGGGGATAAAAGGCGTGATGTTATGTTATGTTATGAAATTCTTGTTTACCATATCGAGCAAATAGAGGCTTCCCTAGATGTCTGACTGACGCTTTTTATCTTGTTGACGTCCAAATGTGATTATTATTGGTTTCATCATCATTATAAATGCCCACTGCTGAGCAAAGACTCTTCTCACATGGAGAAGGTTTGAGCATTAATCACCACGATTGCTCAATGCGGGTTGGCGATTACAAACTTATAATTAGAAATTATAAGCCCAGGTTTCCCCACGATGTTTTCCTTTACCATTGGTCAGTGGTGTCTAAATAATCTTAGATAATACATATAACTTTGAAAAAGTCACATTGGGACTTGCCATTGGTAGGTTTCGAACCCGCACCCTCATGCATGAGAAGCAGGCGTCTTACACCTCCGGCCACCACGACATGATTGGTAGAATAAAAATAAACTATTTTAACTTTAACTTTGACTTCATCATCATTATCATCAGTAACTCATACAGTCCGCTGACGAATTGGGATGATGACAGGGTATGAAAATTAAAAATCTAATTAGTTCGTCAGTTAGGTAATGAAAAAATATTAGACACGTATCTTTTTATTTGGTTGTATAACAAAATGATACTTAGACAAAACGAATCAAAGTTTAGGAGTGGGGCTAAAACGTCATTTCTACGTATAAAATGTACACAGAAGTGACGTCACGCGACATTTCAAATCAATATATCGTCGAAAGTATTCGTTTTTGTAAAAAAAATACTTGTATAATGTTTTAAAATCATCTACCAGACAGGCATTACATACATGCATACATAACTTCACGCCTGTCTCCCATGGGGGTAGGCAGAGACTAGGGAACGCCAATTACTACGATACCTACATAAAAATTCATTAAAATAAAAAATTGTCATCTATCCTATTATGGGCCTCTTACAGAAAAAGTTTGTGTTCATCTTCAAATTTATCAGGAGGATTGAGGATCGTAATCTCTACACATCTTACCTATTCTTTTCTTTACCAATTTGACAACTGTTCCATTAAGTAAGCTTACTAGTTCTATGTGAAATAACGGAATATTACACTGGAAAAACAAGGTAATCCTAAGTCCAGTAGTCATGCCCGAGGTCAGGTCACAAACGTACTGCCATTAAAGTGACGACTTTGCTGTCAATAACCTGACAATGTCAACAACAGATATAATTGCATAATAAATAAGTTATACAGTTACATAATACCTGTTCCACTTAATGGTATTCTTTTTTATTGTTCGCATCTTGCCGTCCGGCCGGCATTTGATATCTCGCTTGGTGGTAAGCGCCTAAGCTAATGGTAAATAAGGCCTACGATGGTAGGCCGCATCATCGCTTACATCGTGCCATCGAGCATTTCTGATAAAAATAAGAAGATATCCAAGTTATACACACACATACATACATAACATCACGCCTTTTATCCCCGAAGGGGTAGGCAGAGGTGTACATTATGCTACTGTACAATGTAGTACCCACTTTTCATTATTTATGTTATGAGTCCAATGTAATAGGGGGTGAACCTATTGCCATATACCGGGCACAATTCCAGACTCCGTGCTACCAATGAGATATTTTAAAAACCCAGTAGTACCTTGCCCGACCCGGGAATCAAACCCGAGACCCCTTGCCCGGCAGTCGCACTTGCGACCACTCGGCCAATGAGGCAGTCTCAATTTCACAATTGATATTTTTTATCGATAAAAGTATGACAAGGCATAATACGTTTCTCGATAAAAATTTATGAGACGTTAATTATACTAAGGTGGTTCAGTTTGCCTAATTAATTAAGTACATCCTTGAAAAGATTGCAAATAAAAAAACACTGTCTTTGATAGATTTTTTTTTCTTTTTTAACAATAGAAACCCGTTATATTCTTAGTTACAGAAATTTACACACAGGTGTTTATTTGGAAAGCTTTATTAATACACAGATATCGTTAAATGTTTTATCTTGAATACCGTTGTATCTATTAGCTATTATTTTGTGACTCATCTATAGAAATATAATAAAGTTTACAAGTTTGTTCATATCACTGGACTGTGGCAAACGGGTGCTTAGTTTTTTTCTATGGGATAAGCCGGTAAACCAGCTGACTGATCACCTGATGGGAAGCAATCGGCATCGCCCACGGACACATGCACCACCAAATGCGTTACAAGTGCATTACCGGCCTTATGGTGAATAGAAATTTGAGGATGGATGGGGATTCAGGGATTAGGGAGATTACGACCAAACACAATGCAAGCGTTGTTTCACGTCGGTTTTCTCTGAGGCCGTGGTATCACTCCGGTCGAGTGGCCACATCACCGCTTACCACCAGGCGAGATGGTAGCCAAACGACAACCTATGAAGTGTAAAAAAAGAGATGAGTCTCCCACACATAAGTACTAACCATCCTGCCACACTAGTTAGTAATCATCCCATCTTCATTGATTCAAGCCAATTAGTGAATGCGCGCTGCGAGGAACTTTTAAACAAAATGAACATAATATTTTGTACTATCAATTCCGATCAATTTTACTCTTTCAGCTTGGCTGATGGCTAGCAATTTGCGTAGCTCATGATTGTCATCACCACCAGAAGTGCTGATTGTGCTTTACCGAACCTTTTGCTGGAATAAGTTTAAAATCACTATAATTTATTTTTCGTTGAAATTTTTGACTTAGCCTATCGTATGTTTAATATCTGGTGTGAGAAGCGGTATTTGTTCAGCAGTTCAAACTCAATTTGCTACTTTTGAAACGTCAACAAATACAAAATAAATAATAGTCTATCAGTCAGTCCGTCAGTGAAGCTAGGTGAAGCTAGGTGCTCATTCCAAAATGTAGATTCGAATGGAGAAGAACGAGCAAGAAATTCCATTCGTTACTCATTTTTAAAAAAAGTATGTTCTACAATGTCTCTGATACATATTCCAATACTGTACGCATATGTGAGAACAATGCAAAGACACGCTTGACGCATTATACTAATTACCAAACTTACTAAAAAAAAGTGGGCATTTATAAATATTTGGTGTACAATGTGTTGATGCACTTTTGACTTTATGTTGCTTATTCTCATTCTTGGAAGGTAAACATCTAATATTGTTCAATCTTTCAAATGAAACCACAGAATAGACCTAGAAGTTCTATCAGATTTTTGTGACTTTTTTTTTAAGGGGGGAAAATCATCGAATGACTGCTCCCGCCTAGGTGAGGCGGGAGGGAGTGTCAGACTCTTACTGACTAAAAATCACCCCGTTCCTTTTCCTGCACGTCGAGCCGGAGCCCCAGTTACCCGTTAGGTTCACCGCGACCCCGAAGATTTTTGTGACTTAGCAACAAACCACTCTCCTAATATATTTCTAGTTTATTATTAAAATATCTAAGTTTTCACCTAGTTAATTTATAAGTTCTAGATTCCATTATGTATCTATATGGACTTAAGTAGCATCTGTCTAGGCTATTTTGTGTAGGTGGGTCTGAAGCTACTGAACTCTGTAGCTGAGATATTTACAGTTTTATTCATAAACAATCGATAAATCTAATATAGTCGTGGAATAATTTGTCTATAGTAATATTATTCAAATGTTAGTCATCTTTTATTCGAAGAATAAATAAGTATTTGACTTTATTGCATTTTGGTTGTGAATCAAAAACCTATTGGACTAAGACAAAATCACCTTTAAAAGGAAGGCCTATGTTCAGGATATATTTCAATCACGAACATATACTATCTTCTAGTTAGATAAATTATTATCAATAGTGTCGGTATTATGTCGTAGGGGCCCGGAGGTTGAAGACGCCTGCTTCTAATGCACGAGGGTGCAGGTTCGAAACCTACCAACGGCAAGTACTAATGTGACTTTTTCCGAGTTATATGTACTTTCTAAGATTATTTAGACACCACTGACCAACGGTGAAGGGCTTATAATTTCTAATTATAATTTGTAATCGCCGACCCGCATGGTGATTAATGCTCTAACCTTCTCCATGTGAGAAGAGGCTTTGCTCAGAAGTGGACATTTATAAGCTGTTGATGAGTGTCGGTGTCTATC